AACCACTAATTCTAAGTCATGAGTGGGGTAATTCTTCTCATACACCTTCAATTGCCTTGAAGCATATATCACTACTCTCCTATTCTACAACAATACACATCCCAACCCCTAGTGGAAGCATCACAATACACCTTAAATGACTCACTAAGGTTGGGTAACACCAATACAGGAGAAGTAGTCAACCTTATCTTCAACCTGAAGAAGTTCTCCTCACAAGAATTCGTTTGAATGAAAGGTTAATCTTTTATAGTCAGTTGAGTTAGAGACATAACTATTTTGGAAAAACCCTCAATGAATTTCCTATAGTAACTCGTCAATCCAACAAAACTCTTAATATTTGTAACTATCCTAGGACGCTTCCACTATAAGATTGACTTTACCTTAGCCAGATCTATGAAATTTCCCTCTGTTGAAATGACATGACCTAAAAACTTAACATCAGCAAGCCAAAACTTACACTTGATAGTTTGACATACAATTGTTTCCCCCTTAACACGTCCAACACCAACTTCATGCACTACAAGAAAAATGTTAATTTTCGACGAAAATTTTCAACGGAAAAGGGTAAATTTCTGACAGATTTAAATCCGTCAAAAAAAGTGGCGTCAGAAAACAAAAAATCCGTCGAAAATATCCGTCAGAAATTTTCGACGAAAATTATATATATTTTTTATTTTTAATAAATTTATTAATGTAACAGTCCGCATATTTGGACTCTCAAGGGTTCTACTTTATGACATTTCACTTTTTAGTGTGTTTTATCCTTACTTGCACAATTTCTGGGAAACTTCCCAGAAGGTCACTCATCCCAATACTACTTCAGGTCAAGCACACTTAACTATGAAGTTCTGATGAGTAAGCTACCGAAATGTATATGTATGTTGTCAATATAACTTGTACAAATTAATTCATTTAAGTCATCCTCAAATATACAATCTCATACTTGTACTATAATAATAATATATAATAATTTTATATTACGAATAATAATAATAATAATAATAATAATAATAAAAATAATAATATATTCAATTATTCATTATTTATATGTACTTACTTTTATAATTAACATCTACTTATTTTTATTTAAAATTATAATTTAAATTATTTAATTTTATAATTTATAATGATAATATAATTTATAAAATTATAAATATTTATTTATTACATACTTATAAATTAAATTTTAATATTTTAAATAAATTATTAATTAATTTAATATATTTATTTACCTTAAATCAAACATATAAAATTTAAAAAATGTATTTATCCTTATTTTTTTTT